GGGGGGGGGAGCTTTTTTGCATATATTCATCCATGTCTTACTCATTTGCACAAAAGCACAATAGTTCGGTGATCACCAGCTTCAAAACAACTCGAATGAGAAGAAAAAACAAGCTCAGAGCAAACATTAGTTTCATTTCATGACATGCAGAACAACAATAACTTGTCACGTAAAATTGAGCTACTCTTAATAGTTTAAGCAATATGCAGCACCCCGTATGCAAATTCTCAATTACATTCCCTTCTTATGAAATAACCCCAAAAAGAACAATATGAACTCTAGGGTTTGCACGAAAATGAACAAAAGTCCAAATTCTAGGGTTTGTAAAGCTTAGGATTCAAAAGGAATACCTCAATTGTGAATACCAATGCCCGAATTGCAGCTAGAGTTAGCAATGCGTCAGCCCTGTAAGTTTCTCCTGGTTCTAGGGTTTTTTTCTTACCTCAATTCAAAGCAAAAGATATTTTTGCCCTAGAATATCTAAAGCAGGGAATGCATTTGAATCTCGTACAATATGTCCCTCGGCTTGTACAATATGAGACAACAGGTGCCTATATTGACATAAATACGTATGTATTTGTCGAGTAAAATAAGGTTCCTGGTTCTGTCTTCGTGCTCCTTCGTTCTTTCCCCAAACTTTCTCTCTCTAAACAGTATGTTTTTCTCTCTCTAAACCTCATAAACTATTCGTCCTCGCACGAGTAGTGGGCTTGGACATGCAGACGGCGAACCAAGGCTATTGCAATTTCAGTCCATTTGGGCTTCTTATTTTTTCCTGATTGGAGAAAGATTCTAATTTCAAAAGGAACATAATTCTCATATTGGGGTTAACCCATGTTATATTGGTTTGGTAATTGCTACTAAGGGGTCGCTTGGTAGAGTGCATAAGAATAATGTTAAATATGATATATTAGTAATGCTAGTATTAGTTATGCTTGCATTAATTATATTATTATTAGTTATGTTGTCATTAGTTTCTTATCCATTGTTTGGTTTGATGTATTAAAGCATTGCACAATTTCTAAAAGAATTATTTGTTTACAAAAATACCCTCATAACCAGACCATCACTTTATTATTTTAAAAGAAACATATGTTGAGGAATATTTTTATATGAAAAATATTTTTAAACAAAATTAATTTATTTGTCTACCTATATGGCATTATAGAACTGAATATTTATTTATAAAAAAGAAAATATTCCAGGTATTTATTTATTTACTAGAGATATAATTTTATTTTCTACTTTATTGAATTATTTCAAACTTGCATTAATATAATAGTATATTTTCATCAAGCATAAATTTTGAAGGGCAATTTTGTCTTTAACTAAGCTAATGCATGCATTAAAACCCATTGCATTGTTAATACTATGGTTTCTTATGCATAAGATAATACCAAATATGGTGTATAACTAATGCTTACATAACTAATGCATACGTTCAAAAAGTGTACCAAACAAGGTCTTATTAATACCCAAAGCTAATGCATGCATTATTTTATCTAATGCATCCTACCAAACAACCTAAGGCTATTTAATGACACTAATAGAAGTCAAAATATCGAAAAAGAAACTCTAGAGTCCTCATTAATTTTATCTATAATCATGTAAACGATTGAAGCCGCCCGACTTGTTTATCTAAATTAGAAGATTCAGATATAGGCCTAAACTAGTAATCTTAATAATAGTTCGTGATACTTTAAATTTAAATGATCGGGCATGTACAATGTTGATAAATCACACCACTAACAGCTTGTTTGGAGGGTTGTTACATGTCGTTTCATAATATATCTAGTTGTATTGTGCTATACTATGTTATATTATTTTGATAAATACAATATTGAATAAAATATTTTTTTTTCTCGTCGTTTCATGATGTCATTCACCAGTAATATGAAGAATAAATGTGCAATAGTACGAAAAAAAAGTACGATACATGGTAGAATTATTATATAAAAAAAGTGGGATAAAAGATAAAATAGAATCTAATCTATCTATATATTATTAAAAGCCAAGGAAAAATGCACCACATTAAGCCAAGTGGCAGCCTAGAAAAAAGCCACAGGCACAATTAGTTAACCATTAGTTATTTAGTTAATTATTAGTTATTGGTTATTATTTTTGAATTTAAATATCTACAAAAATAAAAATAAAAACTACCAATTCAAATTGGGGAGCAGTTTCTTTTATATATATACATACACACACATTATATAAAATAATAAAATAATATATATATTTTGGGCGAAGTAAAAAATGTAAAAATTAATAATTAGTTACTCTTTTTGAATTTAAATTTAAATATACTTAACAATTTTTCTTCGAGAAACCATAATTTTTATATATTAAAAATTATTTACTCTTAAACTTCTATTTTATATTGGTAAGTTGCCAACACATAATATAATATCTATTTGGAGAGGCGTGGCTAGATTCGCAAAAGCGAATGGGCTCTGTAGGAGCGGAAGCGCAGAAGCGAAGGAAGGGCCGCAGAAACGGCCTTGTAGGTGCAAGGTTTGGGTCGCAGTGCGGCTAGTTGGGTCCTAAGTGACTTTTCGCAGGAGCGAACATTTTTTTTGTTGAAGCGGAGCCGCAGGTGCGGCTAGGGTGCCCGCAGTTACGAAGACCCCTGGGCAGAATATATGTTGCTCAATCGGAATTTTTTGCTTATTTCCTTCATTCTTCTCTTGCTTGGGCGACTTTTGGGGCAATTTGAAGGAGCCAACTTCATCATCTACCTTGAGGTAAGGAACTTCTACACATTGTGAGCTAAGTACATGAGTTATATATGGATCTAAACATGGATATGGGTAGAAATTGTAGGATTTTAGTAGAAAACCTACAAATTGATATTTTTGAATTTTGATCACGAAATTGGACAAGAAATTAGGAATAAATTGTATATTTGAGTTCATGCCGTTATGGGTAATGATTGTCTTCAAGAATTTTTGGAATCCGGGCACGTGGGTTCGAGGGTTGACTTTGTTGATTTTTCGAGCAGAGTTGAGAATCACTATAAATTATTAAATTATATGCATTAGAGTATATTTTGATTGATTTTCACATTGTTTGACTAGTTTCAGATCGGTTGGCTTTGAGTTGAAGAGTTAGAGAGGCATGGGAGCCGGTTATAGAACTTCGAAGCAAAGTAAGTCTCGTGTCTAACCTTGTAAGGGGAAAATTACCCCCTAGATAATTTAACTATTATGTGCTACTAGTTATGGGTGCTACATAAGCACGAGGTGACGAGAGTCCGTACGAAGATAAAGCATGTTTATGTCTGGGTAGACACCGAATTTTATCATGTAATATTTGAATTATTTGAACTCCATTGCTAGCTTAAATAATTGAATTCATAATTGAAATTGATTTAGAAATACACCATACTAGGCCGAGCTTTTTCACCCTGAGTTGTTGGTCATTTATTTGAGAAACGGTAAAAGTTATATTCATTTTATGCTCCTATACCTGTATTGTAAGCACGCGCCTCATAATTCGATAAATTCTTTCCTTTCTTGTGGAGCAGGCCGAACGCCTCGGCAGTATAATGGATGCATCTATGGTTCGTGCCGGTCGACCCTCGACAGTGTACACATTATTCTGGATCGGGCCATATGATCTCGGCATAATCGTGCGTTATAACGCTAGCAGTCCGAATAATCACGAGATTATCCTTTTACTGACGCTTGGCATTTTATATGGAATTTCTTATCCGTTTGATATTGGAACTTGATATATCTGGGCTGTTGAGATAGAATACGAGATTGAGAAATTTATATCTTTAAAAAAATTTTGAAAGATTTTGTAAATTACAATTTTACCCCATTATTACTATTGTGCTTCATATCTGTTTTTGATTTATCATACTGATTTATTGGACCACTAGTAAGTGTCGATGTCGATCCCTCGTCACTACTTCTCCGGGGATAGGTTAGATACTTACTGGGTACGCATTGATTTACGTACTCATGCTGCACTTCTACACTAAATGTGCAGGATCTAACAGGTTCATTTGGTGGTTATCTTGGCGCGTAGGCGCAGCTGCTGGGGAAACTTTATGGTGAGCTACATTCCAGGCTACGTATCGCAGCCCACAGAGTCTCCATCGTACTATTTATTATATCCTGTCTCATTTACATTCCAGACAGATGTTGTATTATTACTGTACTCCTTAGTAACTGCTCACGAATTTGGGAATATTCTAGTTGATGCTTACGGATTTGCATATTATTATCACCTTATATTTTAATGAAATACTAATTGTGTATGTACCCGTGATTTTAAAGGTGTAAATTTCCTTAATAAAATTTATGATTTCGAAAGTAATAAAATGAACAATTGACGTGATAGTTCACTGTTGGCTTACCTAACGGCGATATTGAGCGTCATCACGGCCTATAGTTGGTTTGGGTCGTGACAGTTCACTATTGGCTTGCCTAAAGGTAGCGTTGGGAGCCATCATGGTCTATGGTGGAAATTGGGTCGTGATAGATTGGTATCAAAGCTCTATGTTCACATAGCTTTCACGAGTCATGTAGTTGATGTTGTGCTAAATCTAAATCTTTCTCTTATTCTCTCACATATGGTGAGAACGCGCGCGACAACATTACCCCGCGAACAGGGGCTGCTCCCTTGGTCGTTAGAGGTAGAGGTAGAGGCTGAGGGAGGGCCAGAGCTCCTATTAGGGGGCGAGGGCATCCTAGAGTTGCTCCAGAGGTAAAACCAGTGGATTTGATGGAGGATCCTATTATTGAGAAACAGGATGAGGTACCTGCAGCCGAGTAGGACGCAACAGATTTTATGACAGCACCAGGATTTTAGGACATCATCAGTAGTATGTTGCAGTTTATGGACTCTATGAATCACCCTAGACTATTTCTAGCGGACCAGATATGGGGGGGAGGGGGGGAGGGGGAGGAGGAGCACAGACCCCTACCGCTCATGCGCCAAGGTACGTTGTTGTTATTTATCAAACCCTCGGTGTACTACCTGTAGGCACGGTTCAGTCGGTTGCAACGGCAAGAGCAGAGGCTAGATCGGTCGTGACAGTTGAGAAGCAAAAGCAGCTAGATCGATTTACTAGTCTTCATCCTCCCTGCTTTGGTGGAGAGAAGTCTGAGGACCCATAGGATTTCATTGACCGTTACAAGTAGAGGTTGCATATTTTGGACTAGTGGAATCCAATGGGGTGGACATCACCACATTTTAGCTAGAAGGGAAGGCTCGTAGATGGAGGCAGTCTTATCCCCTTAGTAGGCCACTAGGTTCACCTCCCTTGACATGGGATCAGTTCGCACACCTCTTATTGGAGAAGTGTATTCCAGCTTCATAGTGGGAGGAGTTACCGGTTAGTTCGAGCAGCTCCAGGAGGGTCAGATGTCTGTGACCGACTATGAGGTGAGATTCACTGAGTTATCTTAATACGCAACTATCATACTTCCCACAGATGCAGAGAGAGTGCGGAGGTACATTGTGGGATTGTACTATATGATTTAGGTTTCTATAGGACGAGAGGCAGAGATAGGGACTCCTATTACTAGGTTGTGGAGATAACTTGGAGGATCGAGAGTATCTGCAACCAGGTCAAAGAGTTCATGTCGAGGGATAAGTGGCTTCGGCATTCTGGTGGATTCAGGGGTGCCCGTCTGGGGCAGAGGTCAGTTCATGAGGAGCCATCCTTGCAGGCCCATGTATCCAACACCACAGCCTATTCGGGGTGCTATAACGCGACCTTACTTCGATAAAATTCT